TCATAGAGACCCACACTCATAGAGACCCACAGAGACCCACACTCAAAGAGACCCAAACTCACAGAGACCCACAGAGACCCACACTCATAGAGACCCACAGAGACCCACACTCATAGAGACCCACAGAGACCCACACTCATAGAGACCCACACTCATAGAGACCCACAGAGACCCACACTCATAGAGATTCACACTCATAGAGACCCACAGAGACCCACACTCATAGAGACCCACACTCATAGAGACCCACAGAGACCCACACTCATAGAGACCCACAGAGACCCATACTCATAGAGACCCACACTCAAAGAGACCCACACTCATAGAGACCCAGACTCATAGAGACCCACACTCATAGAGACCCACACTCATAGAGACCCACACTCATAGAGACCCACAGAGACCCACACTCACAGAGACCCAAACTCACAGAGACCCACAGAGACCCACACTCATAGAGACCCACAGAGACCCATACTCATAGAGACCCACAGAGACCCACACTCATAGAGACCCACACTCATAGAGACCCACACTCATAGAGACCCACAGAGACCCACACTCATAGAGATTCACACTCATAGAGACCCACAGAGACCCACACTCATAGAGACCCACACTCATAGAGACCCACAGAGACCCACACTCATAGAGACCCACAGACACCCACACACAGAGACTCACAGAGACCCACACTCATAGAGACCCACAGAGACCCAGACTCACAGAGACTCACAGAGACCCACACTCATAGAGACCCACACGGTCCCTTACGTTATGGGCAAACTTCGGGGCCACTTTTCTGGAGTCGTGGAGTTCTTACATTACTAGTACGGTACATATAATCAAAGCGGTTTTTTTAAAGTGTTTTTTAAATGTTACTTATTTAATTTTTTATACCTAATACTTGACTTTACCGAAATATTCAATGAGCATGGATTGCTGCGGTCACAGGAAGCTTCAAATCAAGATTGATTGTGTTTTATCACTGCATGAGGGAATCAGAAAATCTACAAAGCTCTTTAATCACAGATGTCCAGTTAGGGGCACATTGGGGTGGTCAGAATGGTACAACATTTGGACATTAATAGCAGCGGCAAACTACATCTAAACAATGTGTATAACTCATAATAAAGGTTCTTGGGTTAGATCGCGTTTATTTATAAATGTGTCGTAACCCTCCACCACCCGACACGGCCAATCAGCAAAAAAGTGTCACGTTGACAAAGACAAATAATTCACTACTTCAGCCCACCGGTGTGTTGAAGAGTTAATCCACATTTACAGTTTGAGTACGACGTTTCGCTGGTAAATACTTCCAGCATCATCGGGCAATTCGCCAGAATGGTTATAGCCCTGTGACCATTCTGGCGAATTGCCCGATGATGCTGGAAGTATTTACCAGCGAAACGTCGTACTCAAACTGTAAATGTGGATTAACTCTTCAACACACCGGTGGGCTGAAGTAGTGAATTATTTGTCTTTGTCAACGTGACACTTTTTTGCTGATTGGCCGTGTCGGGTGGTGGAGGGTTACGACACATTTATAAATAAACGCGATCTAACCCAAGAACCTTTATTATGAATAATATTGGTCGCGAAAGCCTACGTGTTAAAATGTGTATAACGTCATCAGAGCATTGTATCTTAACACTGCAGGAGGAGAAGGAAATCCGAAAATCTAGAAAGCGCTTTCATCATCAGATGTACACCCCCCCACCACCACTAGCCCCACCCCCCTCACTCCGAGCCCCGCCTTCTCTACGCCCCACCCCCTCTACGCCCCACCCCCTCATCCATTAGCCCCGCCTTCTCTACCGACTAACCCCGCCTCCTCACCTATTAGCCCCGCCTTCTCTACCCACAGCCCTCACCCCCTCACCCATTAGCCCCGCCTTCTCCACCGACTAACCCCGCCCCCTCACCTATTAGCCCCGCCTTCTCTACCGACTAACCCCGCCCCCTAACCCATTAGCCCCGCCTTCTCTACCGACTAACCCCGCCCCCTCACCTATTAGCCCCGCCTTCTCTACCGACTAACCCCGCCCCCTCACCCATTAGCCCCGCCTTCTCTTCCCACTAGCTCCACCCTCTCACTTATTTAGCCCCGCCTTCTCTACACCCCCCCCCCAGCACCACCCCCTCACCCATTAGCCCCGCCTTCTCTAGCCCCCGCAGCCCCACCCCCTCACTCATCAGCCCCGCCTTCTCTCCCGACTAACCCCGCCCCCTCACTCATCAGCCCCGCCTTCTCTCCCGACTAACCCCGCCCCCTCACTCATCAGCCCCGCCTTCTCTACCCACTAACCCCGCCCCCTCACTCATCAGCCGAGCCTTCTCTACCCACTAACCAGTTTCAGTTTTGATTTAAAGCTTTCGTGACTGCAGTAATTCATATTCTTAGTTTTTTTCGGTAAAGTCACGTTGAAGGGAAACAACAAAATAATAAAATACCGAAAAAACTAAGAATACATTTTCAGTGTATTTATTTTGGTTATAGCCCTGTGAGCCATTCGGCTCTTGAATCGGGGTGCATCCACAGCTAACAAAAAAAACAAAAACACGAACAAGAAAAAAACATCTTAAAGTGACTGCTGTGTGTGTGTGTGACTGTGCAAAACACAAAATCCATGAAAAAAAAATCCCAGTGGGATGCAAAGTCAAACAACAACAACCACAAGGCAACTAAGATTAAGGCCGTCAGTCTAACTCCGTACTACAATAAACAAAAACGTGTCCAAACCAAAAAAAACGTTTTCGAAACCACCAAAAACTAAAGCCATAATTGCCACGTAACAGCGATCACAGGGACTGACTGTGACCGAATTTTTTTTAACAATAAAGTACGTAAATAACATGTAACACCAAATCCTAGAGCCATAGCTGGCTGCATGAGTTTCTCCACAACAACACAGGCATCATTCGGAGGATCAAATTTTTCAATGCACCTTTAAGATCAGCACGCTAAATCAATGATGAAACAAAGGAAGTTGTATTTTCGATTTATAGCTTTCGTGACTGCAAAGATTCATCTTCTTTGGTTCTTTCGGTAAAGTCACCACCACGTAGAATGATAATAAAATAATACATTGATAAAATAAAATAACGCCAATAATATTCTCACGACGTTTCGGCCACAACACAAGCGGCCTTCATCAGGTGAAGGGGGCGAGACTGTCTGGTAGGACAGCGCTGGAGTGTAGACAGACAGTCTCGTCCCTTCACCTGATGAAGGCCGCTTGTGTTGTGGCCGAAACGTCGTGAGAATATTATTGTGTTATTTTATTTCATCAATTTATTATTTCATTCTCATTCTACGTGGTGGTGACTTTACCGAAAGAACCAAAGGAGATGCCTCAAAATCCTTAAGCTGCTGCAACTTGAAAAACAAAGCAACGGGCAACAGGACTGAAAAACATGTTTCCAGACGAGAACTCTTACAAAATGGGGCACTCGGCTATCGGATCAGATACCTATACTCGACCCCGATAAGCCGAGGTTATGGAACTGATCATCGATATCGGACGACACCAAAATAGTTGAAGTATTACCCGTTTGCGTAGGTGCCGCTGAACGGGAGGTGATGGGCAGGGATTAAGAATGTCATCGGAAATGCAGCCGGGACATTCTGGGTATGGGACCATGGTATTGCACCCGGGATCACGAGGGTGGGCCTTTGTGATGGCCACCATTTTTATTTTTATGGGCCCAGGTGATGGACCATAAAACTAGTTGACGATGTTGGCGACTTCATCTATTTAATCGATGACTCGTCCCAGCCCTTACAAATGTTGTTGTTGTTGTTGTGCGGTAATGTTCTGAGATGCAGAGGAGAGGGATCACACCCACTCACCCGTTAGCCCCGCCTTCTCTACCGACTAACCCCGCCCCCTCACCCATTTAACCCCGCCTTCTCTACCGACTAACCCCGCCCGCTCTCACCCGTTAGCCCCGCCTTCTCTACCCACTAGCTCCACCCCCTCACTCATTTAGCCCCGCCTTCTCTACCGACTAACCCCGCCCCCTCACCCATTTAACCCCGCCTTCTCTACCGACTAACCCCGCCCGCTCTCACCCGTTAGCCCCGCCTTCTCTACCCACTAGCTCCACCCCCTCACTCATTTAGCCCCGCCTTCTCTACCGACTAACCCCGCCCCCTCTCACCCGTTAGCCCCGCCTTCTCTACCGACTAACCCCGCCCCCTCACCCATTAGCCCCGCCTTCTCTACCGACTAACCCCGCCCCCTCTCACCCATTAGCCCCGCCTTCTCTACCGACTAACCCTGCCCCCTCACCCATTAGCCCCGCCTTCTCTACCCACTAGCTCCACCCCCTCACTCATTAGCCCCGCCTTCTCTACCCCCCAGCCCCACCCCCTCACTCATTAGCCCCGCCTTCTCTACCCACTAACCCCACCCCCTCACCCATTAGCCCCGCCTTCTCTACCGACTAACCCCACCCCCTCACCAATTAGCCCCTCCTGCTCTACCCACTAGCTCCACCCCCTCACCAATAAGCCCCTCCTTCTCTACCCAATAACCCCACCCCCTCACCAATTAGCCCCTCCTTCTCTACCCACTAGCTCCACCCCCTCACCAATAAGCCCCTCCTTCTCTACCCAATAACCCCACCCCCTCACCAATTAGCCCCTCCTTCTTTACCCACTAGCTCCACCCCCTCACCAATAAGCCCCTCCTTCTCTATCCCACTAACCCCACCCCCTCCCTCATTAACCCCGCCTTCTTTACCCCCTAGCTCCACCCCCCCCCGCACGATCTCCACCCTTCTTCAACCCCGCCTTTCTCTACCTACTAGCCCCACCCCCTCTCGTCCATTAGCCCCGCCTTATATACTCACTAACCCCACCCCCTCCCTCATTAACCCCGCCTTCTTTACCCACTAGCTCCACCCCCGCACGATCTCCACCCTTCAACCCCGCCTTCTCTACCTACTAGCCCCACCCCCTCTCGTCCATTAGCCCCGCCTTATATACTCACTAACCCCACCCCCGCACTATAGCCCCACCCCTTCCTATATAAGCACCGCCGCCACCACGTGACCCATCAACATCCGTTGAGGCCTTGCGCGGCAAGGCTCGGGCTAGGCGAGTCCGTCTTCCCCGCGCACGACTTTCAGCGATGTAAGAATTTTGTGGTCGTTGTTGGTAAACAATCGATCGGCATCCGTCCACTTGCGGGCGATTAATGTCGCGGTAAATGTCACCCGGGGACGCAAGACAACTTGGGGCGACTGAATCTGTGTTGTTTTTTTAATGTAAAGTCGAACAATTTCGACTTTTTTTTTTTAGCGGTTGCCGAGGCCTAAATGTGGCTGAGCGGGGCCTAGTTGTGGACTGGCGGGAATTTGGGGGCGGCGTGTTTTAAAGATTCGTATTTTAACAAAAATGTTCAACTTAATATCGCGATGCGGGTTGCGTGCATTTGCCTCGTTGTGCTTAGCGATGTTTAAGAAAGATAGATAGATAGAAGGGGGGTTAAAACAAAACCGTCCCGATTAAATTAACGAACAAGCAAAAATCCCCTCAGCCAATGTCGGTCTTTGCGTAAACGTTTTAAATTTCTCCTCTCCTCACGAAGTTAATTTTTATTATTTTTTTATTTCAAATCTTCCAGTTTTAAAATTGGTACAACGGGGGTTGGTGGTGGAAATGTTCAAACATTGTTGTTTTTAAAATGTGTTATAACGTTTCGGTGGTGGGGGAGGAGGTAAGGTTTTAAAAAAAAATAAAAATACGTTAAGTTATTGCGATACAGCCGTTGGTAATGTTAATGAGAATATTTTAAATGTTATAATTGTATTAATAATATTATAATTGCCGTGCTTTGTTGAGCAGCAGATGGTTAAATTGTTATTGAATGAATGGGAGTTCGTCAGTAAGCCACGCCTCTTATCCATGCGTCCTGGAGTAGGGTTGTGACGTGAAACGTCGTCTGCCATTGACTCCACCTCTACCCCCCCCCCTATCCATGAGCCCTGAGGTAGGGTCGTGACGTGAAACGTCGTCTGCCATTGACTCCACACCACTGGCCCCCCCTTCCCCTCTATCCATGCGTCCTGGAATAGGGTCGTGACATGAAACGTCTGCTATTGACTCCATACCTCTGCCCCCTCCCCTCTATCCATGAGCCCTGAAGTAGGGTCGTTACATGAAACGTCTGCCTTTGACTCCACCTCTGCCCCTCCCCTCTATCCATGAGCCCTGAAGTAGGGTTGTGACATGAAACGTCTGCCATTGACTCCACACCTCTGCCCCCCTCTATGTGCCCTGAAGTAGGGTCGTGACGTGAAACGTCTGCCATTGACTCCACACCTCTGGCCCTCTACCTATGTGCCCTGAAGTAGGGTCGTGACATGAAACGTCGTCTGCCATTTACTCCACACCTCTGCCCCTCCCCTATATCCATGAGCCCTGAAGTAGGGTCGTGACGTGAAACGTCTGCCATTGACTCCACCTCTGCCCCTCCCCTCTATCCATGAGCCCTGAAGTAGGGTCGTGACATGAAACGTCTGCCATTGACTCCACACCTCTGCCCCCCTCTATGTGCCCTGAAGTGGGGTTGTGACATGAAACGTCGTCTGCCATTGACCCCACCACTGCCCCCCCCTATCCATGAGCCCAGAGGTAGGGTCGTGACATGAAACGTCTGCCATTGACTCCACCTCTGCCCCTCCCCTCTATCCATGAGCCCTGAAGTAGGGTCGTGACATGAAACGTCTTCTGCTATTGACTCCACCTTTGCCCCCCCCCCCCTAATCAATGCGTCCTGAAGTAGGGTCGTGACATGAAACGTCGTCTGCCATTGACTCCACCTCTCTGCCCCCACCCCCTCTATCAATGAGCCCTGAGGTAGGGTCGTGACATGAAACGTCTGTCATTGACTCCACCTCTCTGCCGCCACCCCCTCTATCCATGAGCCCTTAAGTAGGGTTGTGACCTGAAACGTCAATGCTGTTACTATTGCTACTGATGGTGCTGCTGATGCTACTACTACAGCTGCTGATAATGATGCTTCTGCTGCTGCTGCTGATGTTGATGATGATGCTGCTGCTGATGAAGATATTGCTGATGATGATGCTGTTAGTGCTGATGGTGCTACTGATGATGATGCTAGTGCTGATGCTGCTGATGATGATGCTAGTGCTGCTGATGATGCTGCTGCTGCTGATGAAGCTATTGCTGATGATGCTGTTAGTGCTGATGCTACTGCTGCTGATGATGCTGTTAGTGCTGATGCTGCTGCTGATGATGCTACTGCTGATGATGATGATGATGCTCATACTCGTGCTGATGACACTGCTGCTGCTGATACTGCTGCTGACAATATTGGTACTGATTATGCTACTGCGATGGCAACTGTTCGAAGGTGCTGTTACTGCTGATGATGATGATGCTGCTGCTACTGCTGATGATGATGCTGCTGCTACTGCTGATGATGATGCTGCTGCTACTACTGATGATGATGCTGCTGCTACTGCTGATGATGATGCTGCTTCTACTAATGCTGCTCTTGGAGATGCTTTTGCTGACAGTGCTGATGGTGCTCTTTCTGCTGCTGATAATGATAGTGCCAATGCTGATGTTGCTAATGCTGATTGAGCTTGTTGATGTAGCTATGGCTGCTGTTGCCTGCTGTGTATGTGGGGTGTGCGTCTCTCTCTGTCTCTCCCCATGGAGATGTTAACTACCTCGCCTGGTATGCAGGAGGTCGTGGGTTTGATCCCAGACCCTATCGATGCCTGCTGCTGCTGTGTATGTGGGGTGTGTGTCTCTCTCCCCGTGGAGATGTTAACTACCTCGCCTGGTACGCAGGAGGTCGTGGGTTTGATCCCGGGCCCTGTCAGTGCCTGCTGATGCTGCTGTGTGTGTGTGGGGTGTGCGTGTTTCCTCGTGGAGATGTTAACTACCTCGTGTGTTTGTGGCTGCTCCAGATCGCCACACGATACGCCACTTTGCTGTTGAGCTATCATTTGTGATTCTGTATATTGTAATGACTTATTGTTGTTCTTTTGCTTATCTCCCCACCAACCCACACACCTACCCACTCACTCACCGATCCACTCACCCAAACACTCACCGACTCACTCACCCACCCATCCATCCACTCACCCACCCACTCACCCACCCACTCACCCATCCACTCACTCACCCACTCACCAACCCACCCACCCACTCACCCACTCACTCACCCACTCACCCACCCACTCACCAACCCACCCACTCACCCACTCACTCACCCACCCACCCACCCACTCACTCACCCACCCACCCACTCACTCACCCACTCACTCACCCACCCACCCACACACTCACCCACTCACCCACCCACTCACTCACCCACTCACCCACTCACTCACCCACTCACCCACCCACTCACCCACCCACTCACCCACTCACCCACCCACCCACCCACTCACCCACCCACCCACTCACCCACTCACTCACCCACTCACCCACCCACTCACCCACCCACTCACCCACTCACTCACCCACTCACCCACTCACCCACTCACCCACCCACTCACCAACCCACCCACTCACCCACTCACTCACCCACCCACCCACCCACTCACTCACCCACCCACCCACTCACTCACCCACTCACTCACCCACCCACCCACTCACTCACCCACTCACCCACCCACTCACCCACCCACCCACCCACTCACTCACCCACTCACCCACTCACTCACCCACTCACCCACCCACTCACCCACCCACTCACCCACTCACTCACTCACCCACTCACCCACCCACCCACCCACTCACCCACCCACCCACTCACCCACTCACTCACCCACTCACCCACCCACTCACCCACCCACTCACCCACTCACTCACCCACTCACCCACTCACCCACTCACTCACCCACCCACCCACCCACTCACTCACCCACCCACCCACTCACTCACCCACTCACCCACTCACCCACCCACTCACCCACCCACTCACCCACCCACTCACCCACCCACCCACCCACTCACCCACTCACCCACCCACCCACCCACCCCAGGGCTCCGTCTCCCACCAAGAGTAAGGAGCGGCCGTCCGATCGGCCCGGAGAGAAGTCACGTGACCGGGGGGCTGCCACGGAGAGGGGGGGGGCGGGGGGGGGTGGTGGTGGGGGTGGTGGGGGCCATCAGAGGGGGGGGAGGGAGAGGGGGGGCCGGGACAAGGACAAAAGAAGGTCGCAGAGCAGCGAGAGTAGCAGCAGGTGGGTGGGGGGGGTGGGGGGGTGGGTGGGGGGGTTGGTGGGTGGGGTGGGTGGGGGGTTGGTGGGTGGGGTGGGGGGGTGGGTTGGGGGGTGGGTGGGTGGGTGGGGGGGTGGGTTGGGGGGTTGGTGGGTGGGTGGGGGGGTGGGTTGGGGGGTTGGTGGGTGGGTGGGGGGGTGGGTTGGGGGGTTGGTGGGTGGGTGGGGGGGTTGGTGGGTGAGTGAATGGGTGAGTAGTGGACGGGTCAGTGGGTGAGTGAATGGGTGAGTGGGTGATTGAATGGGTGAGTGGTGGACAGGTCAGTGGGTGAGTGAATGGGTGAGTGGGTGATTGAATGGGTGAGTGGTGGACAGGTCAGTGGGTGAGTGAATGGGTGAGTGGGTGATTGAATGGGTGAGTGGTGGACGGGTCAGTGGGTGAGTGGTGGACGGGTCAGCGGGTGAGTGAGTGGGTCAGTGGGTGAGTGAATGGGTGAGTGGTGGACGGGTCAGTGGGTGAGTGAATGGGTCAGTGGGTGAGTGAATGGGTGAGTGGTGGACGGGTCAGTGGGTGAGTGAATGGGTGAGTGGTGGACGGGTCAGTGGTTGAGTGAATGGGTCAGTGGGTGAGTGAATGGGTGAGTGGTGGACAGGTCAGTGGGTGAGTGAATGGGTCAGTGGGTGAGTCAATGGGTCAGTGGGTGAGTGAATGGGTCAGTGGGTGAGTCAATGGGTCAGTGGGTGAGTGAATGGGTGAGTAGTGGACGGGTCAGTGGGTGAGTGAATGGGTGAGTGAATGGGTGAGTGGTGGACAGGTCAGTGGGTGAGTGAATGGGTGAGCGGTGGACAGGTCAGTGGGTGAGTGAATGGGTCAGTGGGTGAGTGAGTGGGTCAGTGGGTGAGTGGTGAACGGGTCAGTGGGTGAGTGAATGGGTGAGTGGTGGACGGGTCAGTGGGTGAGTGAATGGGTGAGTAGTGGACGGGTCAGTGGGTGAGTGGTGGACTGGTCAGTGGGTGAGTAAATGGGTGAGTGGTGGACGGGTCAGTGGGTGAGTGAATGGGTGAGTAGTGGACGGGTCAGTGGGTGAGTGGTGGACTGGTCAGTGGGTGAGTAAATGGGTGAGTGGTGGACGGGTCAGTGGGTGAGTGAATGGGTGAGTGGTGGACGGGTCAGTGGGTGAGTGAATGGGTGAGTGGTGGACGGGTCAGTGGGTGAGTGAATGGGTGAGTGGTGGACGGGTCAGTGGGTGAGTGAATGGGTGAGTGGTGGACGGGTCAGTGGGTGAGTGAATGGGTGAGTGAATGGGTGAGTGGTGGACGGGTCAGTGGGTGAGTGAATGGGTGAGTGGTGGACGGGTCAGTGGGTGAGTGAGTGGGTCAGTGGGTGAGTGAATGGGTGAGTGGTGGACAGGTCAGTGGGTGAGTGAATGGGTCAGTGGGTGAGTGAATGGGTGAGTGGTGGACGGGTCAGTGGGTGAGTGAATGGGTGAGTGGTGGACGGGTCAGTGGGTGAGTGAGTGGGTCAGTAGGTGAGTGAATGGGTGAGTGGTGGACGGGTCAGTGGGTGAGTGAATGGGTGAGTGGTGGACGGGTCATTGGGTGAGTGAATGGGTGAGTGAATGGGTGAGTGGTGGACGGGTCAGCGGGTGAGTGAATGGGTGAGTGGTGGACGGGTCAGTGGGTGAGTGAATGGGTCAGTGGGTGAGTGAATGGGTGAGTGGTGGACGGGTCAGTGGGTGAGTGAATGGGTGAGTGGTGGACGGGTCAGTGGGTGAGTGAGTGGGTCAGTGGGTGAGTGAATGGGTGAGTAGTGGACGGGTCAGTGGGTGAGTGAGTGGGTCAGTGGGTGAGTGAATGGGTGAGTAGTGGACGGGTCAGTGGGTGAGTGAATGGGTGAGTGGTGGACGGGTCAGTGGGTGAGTGAATGGGTGAGTGAATGGGTGAGTGGTGGACGGGTCAGCGGGTGAGTGAATGGGTGAGTGGGCGAGTGAATGGGTGAGTGGTGGACGGGTCAGTGGGTGAGTGAATGGGTGAGTGGTGGACGGGTCAGTGGGTGAGTGAATGGGTGAGTGGTGGACGGGTCAGTGGGTGAGTGAATGGGTGAGTGGTGGACGGGTCAGTGGGTGAGTGAATGGGTAAGTGGTGGACGGGTCAGTGGGTGAGTGAATGGGTGAGTGGTGGACGGGTCAGCGGGTGAGTGAATGGGTGAGTGGGCGAGTGAATGGGTGAGTGGTGGACGGGTCAGTGGGTGAGTGAATGGGTGAGTGGTGGACGGGTCAGTGGGTGAGTGAATGGGTGAGTGGTGGACGGGTCAGTGGGTGAATGAATGGGTGAGTGAGTGGGTCAGTGGGTGAGTGAATGGGTGAGTGAATGGGTGAGTGAGTGGGTCAGTGGGTGAATGAATGGGTGAGTGAATGGGTGAGTGGTGGACGGGTCAGTGGGTGAGTGAATGGGTGAGTAGTGGACGGGCCAGTGGGTGAGTGAATGGGTGAGTGAGTGGGTCAGTGGGTGAGTGAATGGGTCAGTGGGTGAGTGTATGGGTCAGTGGGTGAGTGATTGGGTGAGTGGTGGACGGGTCAGTGGGTGAGTGAATGGGTGAGTGAAGGGGTGAGTGGTGGACGGGTCAGTGGGTGAGTGAATGGGTCAGTGGATGAGTGAATGGGTCAGTGGGTGAGTGAATGGGTCAGTGGGTGAGTGAATGGGTGAGTGGTGGACAGGTCAGTGGGTGAGTGAATGGGTCAGTGGGTGAGTGAATGGGTCAGTGGGTGAGTGAATGGGTGAGTGGTGGACAGGTCAGTGGGTGAGTGAATGGGTCAGTGGGTGAGTGAATGGGTGAGTGGGTGAGTGAATGGGTGAGTGGTGGACGGGTCAGTGGGTGAGTGAGTGGGTCAGTGGGTGAGTGAGTGGGTCAGTGGGTGAGTGAATGGGTGAGTGGGTGAGTGAATGGGTCAGTGGGTGAGTGAATGGGTCAGTGGGTGAGTGAATGGATGAGTGGTGGACGGGTCAGTGGGTGAGTGAATGGGTGAGTGGTGGACGGGTCAGTGGGTGAGTGAATGGGTCACTGGGTGAGTGAATGGGTGAGTGGTGGACGGGTCAGTGGGTGAGTGAATGGGTGAGTGGTGGACGGGTCAGTGGGTGAGTGAATGGGTGAGTGGTGGACGGGTCAGTGGGTGAGTGAATGGGTCAGTGGGTGAGTGAATGGGTGAGTGGTGGACGGGTCAGTGGGTGAGTGAATGGGTGAGTGGTGGACGGGTCAGTGGGTGAGTGAATGGGTCAGTGGGTGAGTGAATGGGTGAGTAGTGGACGGGTCAGTGGGTGAGTGAATGGGTGAGTGAATGGGTGAGTGGTGGACAGGTCAGTGGGTGAGTGAATGGGTGAGCGGTGGACAGGTCAGTGGGTGAGTGAATGGGTCAGTGGGTGAGTGAGTGGGTCAGTGGGTGAGTGGTGAACGGGTCAGTGGGTGAGTGAATGGGTGAGTGGTGGACGGGTCAGTGGGTGAGTGAATGGGTGAGTAGTGGACGGGTCAGTGGGTGAGTGGTGGACTGGTCAGTGGGTGAGTGAATGGGTGAGTGGTGGACGGGTCAGTGGGTGAGTGAATGGGTGAGTAGTGGACGGGTCAGTGGGTGAGTGGTGGACTGGTCAGTGGGTGAGTAAATGGGTGAGTGGTGGACGGGTCAGTGGGTGAGTGAATGGGTGAGTGGTGGACGGGTCAGTGGGTGAGTGAATGGGTGAGTGGTGGACGGGTCAGTGGGTGAGTGAATGGGTGAGTGGTGGACGGGTCAGTGGGTGAGTGAATGGGTGAGTGGTGGACGGGTCAGTGGGTGAGTGAATGGGTGAGTGAATGGGTGAGTGGTGGACGGGTCAGTGGGTGAGTGAATGGGTGAGTGGTGGACGGGTCAGTGGGTGAGTGAGTGGGTCAGTGGGTGAGTGAATGGGTGAGTGGTGGACAGGTCAGTGGGTGAGTGAATGGGTCAGTGGGTGAGTGAATGGGTGAGTGGTGGACGGGTCAGTGGGTGAGTGAATGGGTGAGTGGTGGACGGGTCAGTGGGTGAGTGAGTGGGTCAGTAGGTGAGTGAATGGGTGAGTGGTGGACGGGTCAGTGGGTGAGTGAATGGGTGAGTGGTGGACGGGTCATTGGGTGAGTGAATGGGTGAGTGAATGGGTGAGTGGTGGACGGGTCAGCGGGTGAGTGAATGGGTGAGTGGTGGACGGGTCAGTGGGTGAGTGAATGGGTCAGTGGGTGAGTGAATGGGTGAGTGGTGGACGGGTCAGTGGGTGAGTGAATGGGTGAGTGGTGGACGGGTCAGTGGGTGAGTGAGTGGGTCAGTGGGTGAGTGAATGGGTGAGTAGTGGACGGGTCAGTGGGTGAGTGAGTGGGTCAGTGGGTGAGTGAATGGGTGAGTAGTGGACGGGTCAGTGGGTGAGTGAATGGGTGAGTGGTGGACGGGTCAGTGGGTGAGTGAATGGGTGAGTGAATGGGTGAGTGGTGGACGGGTCAGCGGGTGAGTGAATGGGTGAGTGGGCGAGTGAATGGGTGAGTGGTGGACGGGTCAGTGGGTGAGTGAATGGGTGAGTGGTGGACGGGTCAGTGGGTGAGTGAATGGGTGAGTGGTGGACGGGTCAGTGGGTGAGTGAATGGGTGAGTGGTGGACGGGTCAGTGGGTGAGTGAATGGGTAAGTGGTGGACGGGTCAGTGGGTGAGTGAATGGGTGAGTGGTGGACGGGTCAGCGGGTGAGTGAATGGGTGAGTGGGCGAGTGAATGGGTGAGTGGTGGACGGGTCAGTGGGTGAGTGAATGGGTGAGTGGTGGACGGGTCAGTGGGTGAGTGAATGGGTGAGTGGTGGACGGGTCAGTGGGTGAATGAATGGGTGAGTGAGTGGGTCAGTGGGTGAGTGAATGGGTGAGTGAATGGGTGAGTGAGTGGGTCAGTGGGTGAATGAATGGGTGAGTGAATGGGTGAGTGGTGGACGGGTCAGTGGGTGAGTGAATGGGTGAGTAGTGGACGGGCCAGTGGGTGAGTGAATGGGTGAGTGAGTGGGTCAGTGGGTGAGTGAATGGGTCAGTGGGTGAGTGAATGGGTCAGTGGGTGAGTGAATGGGTGAGTGGTGGACGGGTCAGTGGGTGAGTGAATGGGTGAGTGAAGGGGTGAGTGGTGGACGGGTCAGTGGGTGAGTGAATGGGTCAGTGGATGAGTGAATGGGTCAGTGGGTGAGTGAATGGGTCAGTGGGTGAGTGAATGGGTGAGTGGTGGACAGGTCAGTGGGTGAGTGAATGGGTCAGTGGGTGAGTGAATGGGTCAGTGGGTGAGTGAATGGGTGAGTGGTGGACAGGTCAGTGGGTGAGTGAATGGGTCAGTGGGTGAGTGAATGGGTGAGTGGGTGAGTGAATGGGTGAGTGGTGGACGGGTCAGTGGGTGAGTGAGTGGGTCAGTGGGTGAGTGAGTGGGTCAGTGGGTGAGTGAATGGGTGAGTGGGTGAGTGAATGGGTCAGTGGGTGAGTGAATGGGTCAGTGGGTGAGTGAATGGATGAGTGGTGGACGGGTCAGTGGGTGAGTGAATGGGTGAGTGGTGGACGGGTCAGTGGGTGAGTGAATGGGTGAGTGAATGGGTGAGTGGTGGACGGGTCAGTGGGTGAGTGAATGGGTGAGTGGTGGACGGGTCAGTGGGTGAGTGAATGGGTGAGTGGTGGACGGGTCAGTGGGTGAGTGAATGGGTCAGTGGGTGAGTGAATGGGTGAGTGGTGGACGGGTCAGTGGGTGAGTGAATGGGTGAGTGGTGGACGGGTCAGTGGGTGAGTGAATGGGTCAGTGGGTGAGTGAATGGGTGAGTAGTGGACGGGTCAGTGGGTGAGTGAATGGGTGAGTGGTGGACGGGTCAGTGGGTGAGTGAATGGGTCAGTGGGTGAGTGAATGGGTGAGTGGTGGACGGGTCAGTGGGTGAGTGAATGGGTCAGTGGGTGAGTGAATGGGTGAGTGGGTGAGTGAATGGGTGAGTGGTGGACGGGTCAGTGGGTGAGTGAATGGGTCAGTGGGTGAGTGAATGGGTCAGTGGGTGAGTGAATTAATGAACTGGAACTTCTCCCCTCTCCTACTCCCCTTCTCTCTCCCCCCCACACCTCTCCCCACCACCTCCCCCATCTCTCCCCCCACTCCCCCCACCACTCTCCCCCCACTCCCCCCACCACTCTCCCCCCACTCCCCCCCCCCCCCCCCCCCCCCCCATCTCTCTCCCATTTTTCCCAGCTCGGGCTCCAGCCGTTCGGGCTCCAGCTCCAGCTCCGGCTCCAGCTCCGGCTCCGGCTCAGGCTCCTCCACGTCACGCTCCTCCTCCTCCTCCTCCTCCACGTCGCGCTCCTCCTCCTCCTCATCCTCCTCCTCCTCCTCCGTCTCCCCCTCGCCGGGGAGGAGGGGGGCGGGGGCGGGGGCGGGGGGGGGTGGCCCCCCTGGCGGGGGGCCGGCCGGGGGTGGGGGCGGAGGAGCGCCGGGCGGGGGCTCACGGGCGGGGGGGGGAGGAGGTGGAGGGGGAGGAGGTGGAGGAGGGGGAGGAGGAGGTGGGGGAGGAGGTGGGGGAGGAGGGGGCCGCAACGCCGGTGGGGGCGGGGGAGGAGGGGGGAGGGGCGCCGGGGGGAGGGCGAGGGGGAGGGGCGGGCACGGGGAGAAGAGGGGCCGCTCCAAGTGAGTGTGTGGGAGAGAGAGTGGCGGGGTGGGGGAGTGGTGAGAGGGTGAGAGGGTGAGTGGTGAGTGAGAGGGTGAGTGGTGAGTGAGAGGGTGAGTGTGTGGGAGAGAGAGTGGCGGGGTGGGGGAGTGGTGAGAGGGTGAGTGGTGAGAGGGTGAGTGATGAGTGAGAGGGTGAGTGATGAGAGGGTGAGTGAGAGGGTGAGTGAGAGGGTGAGTGTCCATGTGTGTGGGAGAGAGAGTGACAGTGTGGGTGAGTGAGAGGGTGAGTGATGAGTGAGAGGGTGAGTGGTGAGTGAGAGGGTGAGTGGTGAGTGAGAGGGTGAGTGGTGAGTGAGAGGGTGAGTGGTGAGTGAGAGGGTGAGAGGGTGAGTGAGAGGGTGAGTGGTGAGTGAGAGGGTGAGTGATGAGTGAGAGGGTGAGTGGTGAGTGTGAGGGTGAGTGGTGAGTGAGAGGGTGAGAGGGTGAGTGAGAGGGTGAGTGGTGAGTGAGAGGGTGAGTGATGAGTGAGAGGGTGAGTGAGAGGGTGAGTGGTGAGTGGTGAGTGAGAGGGTGAGTGATGAGTGTGAGGGTGAGTGATGAGTGAGAGGGTGAGTGGTGAGTGTGAGGGTGAGTGGTGAGTGAGAGGGTGAGTGGTGAGTGAGAGGGTGAGTGGTGAGTGAGAGGGTGAGTGAGAGGGTGAGTGGTGAGTGGTGAGTGAGAGGGTGAGTGATGAGTGTGAGGGTGAGTGATGAGTGAGAGGGTGAGTGGTGAGTGAGAGGGTGAGTGATGAGTGAGAGGGTGAGTGAGAGGGTGAGTGGTGAGTGGTGAGTGAGAGGGTGAGTGATGAGTGTGAGGGTGAGTGATGAGTGAGAGGGTGAGTGGTGAGTGTGAGGGTGAGTGGTGAGTGAGAGGGTGAGTGGTGAGTGAGAGGGTGAGTGGTGAGTGAGAGGGTGAGTGAGAGTGTGAGTGTCCATGTGTGTGGGAGAGAGAGTGACAGTGTGGGTGAGTGATGAGAGGGTGAGTGAGAGGGTGAGTGATGAGTGAGAGGGTGACTGTCCATGTGTGTGGGAGAGAGTGACAGTGTGGGTGAGTGATGAGAGGGTGAGCAGTGAGAGAGAGAGGGGGTATGTGTGAGTGTCCATGTGTGTGGGAGAGAGAGTGACAGTGTGGGTGAGAGGGTGAGTGATGAGTGAGAGGGAGAGTGACAATGTGGGTGAGTGAGAGGGTGAGTGTTAGTGTCCATGTGTGTGGGAGAGAGAGTGACTGTGTGGGTGAGTGAGTGATGAGAGAGAGTGGGAGTTGAGTGATGAGAGAGAGGGTGAGTGTGAGTGTCCATGTGTGTGGGAGATTGAGAGGGTGAGTGATGAGATGAATTGTGAGCGAGATGGCGAGTGATTGTCCGTGTATGTGTGTGTTTGGGAGTGTGACAGGGAGAGCGAGTGACAGAATGAGTGTCCGTTTGAGTGACTGTGTGGGTGAGTGTGTGATGAGAGAGAGTGGGAGATGAGTGAGAGGGTGAGTGATGAGAGAGAGGGTGAGTGTGAGTGTCCATGTGTGTGGGAGATTGAGAGGGTGAGTGATGAGAGGAATTGTGAGCGAGATGGCGAGTGATTGTCCATGTGTGTGTATTTGGGAGTGTGACAGGGAGAGCGAGTGACAGAATGAGTGTCCGTTTGAGTGACTGTGTGGGTGAGTGTGTGATGAGAGAGAGTGGGAGATGAGTGAGAGGGTGAGTGATGAGAGAGAGGGTGAGTGTGAGTGTCCATGTGTGTGGGAGATTGAGAGGAATTGTGAGCGAGATGGCGAGTGATTGTCCATGTATGTGTGTGTTTGGGAGTGTGACAGGGAGAGCGAGTGACAGAATGAGTGTCCGTTTGTGTCTTTGTGTGCGTCCGTGTATGTGTGGGTACCTCCACGTGCGTGTGTGTGAGTGTCCACGGCTTTGTGTTCATACGTGTCTGTGAGTGTCCGCGTGTGTGTCCACGGTGGAAAAACTCTGTTGTGAATGCTGTGGGCTTACTCGCCAACACACTGGTGCGCTCAACTAGTAGCTCATCGGCACGTTATGTTCACGTGATGAAGCTTCCTAATTGCCCGTGTCGAGAGGCGAGGAATGGGGTATAGGAATAGGTTTTAACCCTTTTAACTGGCACAAAAACTGAGACGGCTTTTCTTAGAGCCCCTTTAGTCTCCATTGGTGTTGGACCAGAAGACGCCAAAAGGCGTACAACTCAAAAACAGCAGAGCACCATCAGAGTATTGAGGGCTCGGGGTGAGCATTAACATTGTGAGACCTCCTTTGCCAGTAAACAAGATATAGTAATAGGTTTTAACCCTTTTAACTGGCACAAAAACTGACACCTTTATTCAAGGCATCGTGTTTGCAATAACCACAACACAAGCAGTCAAAATGCAAACGAAAAAGAGACAACTCTGATAATAATATGCACCGTCCTTGAATTTGATTGGTCCACACCCGAGACAGCTTTTCTTAGAGCCCCTTTAGTCTCCATTGGTGTTGGACCAGAAGACGCCAAAAGGGTAAAACCTATTCCTATATCTTGTTTCTGGCAAAGGAGGTCTCATAAGGTGAGGAATGGTTGTGGTTGTGTTTGCCTACGTCCCCACCGAAGACGGACATCCGTGGAGGGATGCTGGCAAGGCCGATGAGTCGGATGCCTTCTACGACCTCCTGTCGCAGGGGCTGGCTAAAGTGGCCCCTCGGGATGGGGTCATCTTGTTGGGCGACTTCAATGCCCGAGTTGGTCGTGATGCTGGCACCTGGCCTGGAGTGACTGGAAGGCATGGGCCAGATCAGCTCAATAGCAACGGCAGGAGGCTGCTAGATTTTCGTTCAGGCCCACGGGCTCGCAATTACCAACACGCTGTTCCGGCATCGGCATGCATCCACACAACATCGTGGATGCACGCCGGGTCCAAGCAAAGAACGTCTGCCGGACTACGTAGTGACGGACCGGCGGATGCGGGCCCATGTCCTTGACACCGGGACCTACCGTGGAGCTGATCCTGCCCCACTCTGACCATCGACCAGTCATCTGTAAGATGCGCCTGCCATTCTTCCGCTCCGGTGGCGGGTGTACACCCAGGACCCCCGCTCAAACCCAGGTAGTCGGCATCTCACCGCAGTGAGAGATAGAGAGAGAGACTTAATATACGGCGGCAGTAGGCATTGTCAGGGTCCGGGACATGAACCCACGACCTCCCGTATACCGGGCGAGGTAGTTAACATCTCCCAGCCTCCGTGGTGCTCTCTGTGTCGGTAACCCTCTCCCCTTCCCCGGGTCCGCCTTTGTCTCCCCAGGTCCGCTTCTCCGAAGAAGGGCGCCAAGGAGAAGGGAGGAGGGGGAGGGGAGAGGGTGCGGGAGAGGGACAGGGAGCGTGAGAGGGAGCGCGAGCGGGAGCGCGAGAGGGAGCGGGAGCGACGCAAGCGTAGTCCAACACCGAAGCCGACCAAGGTCCACGTGGGCCGGCTGACTCGCAACGTCAGCAAGGTAGGCGCGGAGAGAGACACGGGGAGAGAGAGACACGGGGAGAGAGAGACACGGGGAGAGAGAGACACGGGGAGAGAGACACGGGGAGAGACACGGGGAGAGAGACACGGGGAGAGACACGGGCGGGGAGCGAGACACGGGGAGAGAGTCACGGGCGGGGAGAGACACGGGAGAGACACGGGCGGGGAGAGACACGGGCGGGGAGAGACACGGGCGGGGAGAGACACGGGGAGAGAGACACGGGGAGAGGCACGGGGAGAGACACGGGGAGAGACACGGGGAGACACGGGGAGAGACACGGGGAGAGGCACGGGGAGAGACACGGGGAGAGACACGGGGAGAGACACGGGGAGAGGCACTGGGAGAGACACTGGGAGAGACACGGGGAGAGACATGGGGAGAGACACGGGGAGAGGCACTGGGAGAGACACTGGGAGAGACACGGGGAGAGGCACTGGGAGAGACACGGGGAGAGACACGGGGAGAGGCACTGGGAGAGACACGGGGAGAGGCACGGGGAGAGAGACGCGGGGAGAGGCACTGGGAGAGGCACTGGGAGAGACACTGGGAGAGACAAGGGGAGAGACGCGGGGAGAGACGCGGGGAGAGGCGCGGGGAGAGGCGCGGGGAGAGACACGGGGAGAGACACGGGGAGAGACACGGGGAGAGTCACGGGGAGAGACACGGGGACAGAGAGAGACACGGGGACAGAGAGAGACACGGGGACAGAGAGAGACAGAGAGAGACACGGGGACAGAGAGAGACACGGGGACAGAGAGAGACACGGGGACAGAGAGAGACACGGGGAGAGAGACACGGGGACGGAGAGAGACACGGGGACGGAGAGAGACAGAGAGAGACACGGGGACAGAGAGAGACACGGGGAGAGAGACACGGGGACGGAGAGAGACACGGGGACGGAGAGAGACAGAGAGAGACACGGGGACAGAGAGAGACACGGGGACAGAGAGAGACAGAGAGAGACACGGGGACAGAGAGAGACACGGGACAGAGAGAGACACGGGGACAGAGAGAGACACGGGGACAGAGAGAGAGACATGGGGACAGAGAGAGACAGAGAGAGACACGGGGACAGAGAGAGACACGGGGACGGAGAGAGACAGAGAGAGACACGGGGACAGAGAGAGACACGGGGACGGAGAGAGACACGGGGACGGAGAGAGACACGGGGACGGAGAGAGATACGGGGACAGAGAGAGAGAGAGACACGGGGACAGAGAGAGACACGGGGACAGAGAGAGATACGGGGACAGAGAGAGAGAGAGACACGGGGACAGAGAGAGACACGGGGACAGAGAGAGACACGGGGACAGAGAGAGACACGGGGACAGAGAGAGACACGGGGACAGAGAGAGACACGGGGACAGAGAGAGACACGGGGACAGAGAGAGAGACACGGGGACAGAGAGAGACACGGGGACATAGAGAGACACGGGGACAGAGAGAGACACGGGGAGAGAGAGAGACACGGGGAGAGAGATAAGGGGAGACATGGATGGGAAGAGAGACACGGGGACAAGGGGAGTTTGACACGTGGAGAGAGATGATGATGCTGCTGATGATGATATTGATGATGTTGATGTCCAGGAAGACATAGTGGAGATCTTCTCTGATAAGGTGAAGATAGTGGAGATGGTGATGATGATACTGATGTTCATGATGATGATACTGATGGTGCTGTTGATGATGATGCTGTTGATGATGATTCTGTTGATGATGATGATGACGGTGTTGATGATGATGATGGTGTTGATGACGATGGTGTTGATGATGATGGTGTTGATGATGATGATGGTGTTGATGATGATGGTGCTGTTGATGATGATGGTGTTGATGATGATGGTGTTGATGATGATGGTGTTGATGATGATGGTGTTGATGATGATGGTGTTGATGACGACGGTGTTGATGACGATGCTGTTGATGACGATGCTGTTGATGACGATGCTGTTGATGACGGTGATGACGATGATGATGCTGTTGGCCAGGATCACATGGTGGAGATCTTCTCTGCCTATGGCAAGGTGAAGATGGTGGAGATGTTGATGATGATACTGATGTTCATGACGATGACGATGGTGGTGTTGATGACGATGGTGGTGTTGGCCAGGATCACATGGTGGAGATCTTCTCTGCCTACGGCAAGGTGAAGATGGTGGAGATGGTGATACTGATGTTCATGATGATACTGATGGTGTTGATGACGATGATGATGCTGTTGGCCAGGATCACATGGTGGAGATCTTCTCTGCCTACGGCAAGGTGAAGATGGTGGAGATGGTGATGATGATACTGATGGTGCTGTTGATGATGGTGTTGGCCAGGATCACATGGTGGAGATCTTCTCTGCCTACGGCAAGGTGAAGATGGTGGAGATGCCGTCAGACCGCCTCCACCCGCACCTGGGCAAGGGCTACGCCTACGTGGAGTTTGGTGAGGCGCTGGAGGCTGAGAAAGCCATCCGCCATATGGACGGAGGTACGGAGAGACGGAGGCATTCACACACACACACACGTAGATGTAAAATAAACAATAAAATAATAAAAATATAAAACAATAAACATATAAAACAATAAAATAATAAAAATATAAAACAATAAAAATATAAAATAATAAAAATATAAAATAATAAAAATATAAAACAATAAAAATATAAAATAATAAAAAATATAAAACAATAAAATAATAAAAATATAAAACAATAAAATAATAAAAATATAAAACAATAAAATAATAAAAATATAAAACAATAAAATTATTATTCTTGGTTCTTTCGGTAAAGTCACCACGTAGATAGGGAAACAATAAAATAAAAAAATATATAAAACAATAAAATAATAAAAATATAAAACGATAAAATAATAAAAATATAAAACAATAAAATTCTCACGATGTTTCTACTGAAACACAAAGCAATCATCGTCAGGTGTGAAAACCACAGCAAGAGACCTCCTTTGCCAGTAACAAGATATAGGAATAGGTTTTAACCTTTTAACTGGCACAAAAAACTGACAACCTTTATTCAAGGCATCGTGTCTGCAATGACCACAACACAAGCAGTCAAAATGCAAACAAAAAGAGACAACTCCGATAATAATGATATTATTGGCACTGTCCTTGAATTTGATTGGTCCACACCAGAGACGGCTTTTCTTAGAGCCCTTTAGTCTCCACTGGTGTTGGGACCAGAAGACGCCAAAAGGCGTACAACTCAAAAACAGCGCACCATCAGAGTATTGAGGGCTCGGGGTGAGCACTTACATTATGAGACCTCCTTTGCCAGTAACAAGATATAGGAATAGGTTTTACCCTTTTTAACTGGCACAAAAACTGACAACCTTTATTCAAGGCATCGTGTTTGCAATAACCACAACACAAGCAGTCAAAATGCAAACCACCAGCTGTAACCATCCGTACTGTGCCAGGCTAGGTGCAGGAGGTCTCGGGACAGACCCAGCAGGTGCCATGGGTTGGCTGAGATGACCAGTAGATGCACCACCACCAGCTGTAACCATCCGTACTGTGCCAGGCTAGGTGCAGGAGGTCACGGGACAGATATGCACAGAGAGATAGATACACTCATATCCTCTCTGGCCCCTCCTCCCCTCTCTCTGTCCCCTCCCCCCCTCTCTCTGGCCCCTCCTCCCCTCTGGCCCCTCCCCTCTCTCTGGCCCCTCCTCCCCTCTCTCTGGCCCCTCCTCCCCTCTCTCTGGCCCCTCCTCCCCTCTGGCCCCTCCCCTCTCTCTGGCCCCTCCTCTGTCCCCTCCTCCCCCCTCTCTGGCCCCTCCTCCCCTCTCTCTGGCCCCTCCTCCCCTCTGGCCCCTCCCCTCTCTCTGGCCCCTCCTCCCCTCTCTCTGTCCCCTCCTCCCCTCTCTCTGGCCCCTCCTCCCCTCTCTCTGGCCCCTCCTCCCCTCTCTCTGTCCCCTCCTCCCCTCTCTTTGGCCCCTCCTCCCCTCTGGCCCCTCCCCTCTCTCTGGCCCCTCCTCTGTCCCCTCCTCCCCCCTCTCTGGCCCCTCCTCCCCTCTGGCCCCTCCTCCCCTCTGGCCCCTCCTCCCCTCTGGCCCCTCCTCCCCTCTGGCCCCTCCTCCCCTCTGGCCCCTCCTCCCCTCTCTCTGGCCCCTCCCCCCCTCTCTCTGGCCCCTCCCCCCCCCCCCAGGTCAGATCGATGGTCAGGAGGTGACGGCCACGGCCGTGCTGGCCCCCCGCCCACGGCCCCCCCCCCCGGCGTCCCAGCCCCCCCCCTCCTCCGCCGCGTCGCCCCCCCCCCATGCTGCCCCCCCTCGCGTGGAGACGCTCGCCGCCGGCAGCCAGGCCTCGACGCAGGTGACGTGTGTGTGTAGTGTGTGTGACGTGTGTGTGTGTGTGTGTAGTGTGTGTGTAGTGTGTGTGTATATGTAGTGTGTGTGTAGTGTGTGTGTATAGTGTGTGTGACGTGTGTGTGTGTAGTGTAGTGTGTGTGTGTAGTGTAGTGTGTGTGTAGTGTGTGTGACGTGTGTGTGTATGTAGTGTGTATGTAGTGTGTGTAGTGTAGTGTGTGTGTATAGTGTGTAGTGTGTATGACGTGTGTGTGTAGTGTGTGTGTAGTGTGTATGTAGTGTGTGTAGTGTGTGTGTGTGTGACGTGTGTGTGTTGTGCCGGAGGCCCCGGGGGGCCAGGCGTCTATGACGTCTCCTGGCCAAACCCCAATTGGCGGAGCCAGGAGATTGAATATCTACCCTCGGGGCTACTCCAGAAACAACGAAAAGCCACTACGGGTGGCCACGTGGAATGTTCGAACGCTCACTGCAGAGGAGAGGCTGCCACTCCTCTGTCGGGAGCTGGACCGGTACCCGCCTGGATCTATGCGGCATTCAGGAGGTCCGGTGGACCGGCTCTGGCTCCTGCCACCATGAGGGGTGGACAGTCCTCTACTCGGGGCAGCAGACTGCCAAACAACAGGGTGTGGGTCTTCTTTTGAACAAAAGAATGAAGGGGGCGTGGGAGCGTGGCGGTGAGGTGTGGAAAGCTGTAAGCCCCAGGCTACTTTGGGCTCGCCTTCCCATCAACCGGAGGCGAGGAATGGTGGTCGTGGTTACTTATGCCCCCACCGAAGATGAACATCCGTGGAGGGATGCAGGCAAAGCCGATGAGTCAGATGCCTTCTATGACCTGTCACAGGTGCTGGCTAAAGTGGCCCCTCGGGATAGAGTCATCATGTTGGGTGACTTCAATGCCCGAGTTGGTCATGATACTGGCACCTGGTCTGGAGTGATTGGAGAGCATGGGCCAGATCAGCTCAATAACAACGGTAGGAGGCTGCTAGATTTTTGTGCAGCCCATGGGCTTGTAATTACCAACACGCTGTTCCGGCATCGGCGCATCCACACAACATCATGGATGCATGCCGGGTCCAAGCAAGAACATCTGCTGGACTACATAGTGACGGACCAGCGAATGCGAGCCCATGTCCTTGACACCAGGACCTACCGTGGAGCTGATCTGCCCTCTGACCATCGACTAGTCATCTGTAAGATGCGCCTGCCATTCTTCCACTCCGGTGGTGGGTGTACACCCAGGACCCCATTCCAACCTAAAGTGGCCTGGTCTCAGTTATCTGATGAAAGTTGCAAGCGAGAATTTCATCATCGCTTGCGGCTGGGATTGGCATCGTCCCCGACTCCTCCTGACGTCGAGGGTAAATGGGCGAGGTTTAGGACTGTGACTCATGCAGCTGCAATGGCTGCTTTGGGTACGCGGTCCAGACCTCCCCAGACACCCTGGATGACAGAGGAGTTGTTCAGGATGGTTGAGAAAAAGCGACAGGCCCACTGTCATCGGCTACAGAATCCCACGTCAGAGAATGAGGAGGCTTACCGCAGCCTTCGCTCGGAGGTTCGGAGAGCCGTGAGGTGCTGCAAGGATGGGTGGTGGTCGCGGGTTGCTGAGGAGATGGAGTCTGCCTCAGTGGCCCGTGATCACAAATCTCTATTTAACTCCATCAAAAAAGTAACCTGCAGCGCCACACCTATTACTATCATTAGGGGAAAAAACGGTGATCCAATTTCCGACCCCCAGGAACAGGTTCGCAGATTTGCTGAGCATTTCTGTGAGGTCCTGGGGGAGGGAAAATCCCTCAGCCAGGAAAACATCGTGGCACAAAGTGAGGATGACCCTGCTGAGGCTGCGGTGCCTCAAATATTGGATGAAGTCACCCCCTGTGAGTGGCTGGCTGAGGTGCCATCTGCTGAGGAAGTATTGAAGGCGATCCGGAGTCTGAGACCAGGAAAGGCAGCGGGCAGAGATGATCTCCCAAGCGAAATGCTGAGGGAGGGTGGCGTTTGTGCACAGACTGCCCTATATGACATCATAACAATAGTCTGGACCACTGGACGGGTTCCGCAGGATTGGAAGGATGCCCTGGTGGTCCCCCTTTTTAAGAAGGGGGACCGCACAGACTGTAACAACTACAGGGGCATCTCACTCCTCAGTGTGCCGGGAAAGGTCCTGGCAAGGATTATTCAGCATCGCCTTGCCAGGCACGCTGAGGAGAGGCTTGCGGAGCCCCAATGCGGTTTCAGGAAAGGGCGGTCCTGCACAGATGCCATATTTTCTGTCCGTCTGCTACAGCAGAGGTGTAGGGAATTCCAACAAGACCTACATCTCTGCTTTATTGACCTGGTCAAGGCCTATGATACCATCAGTAGGCCTGGGCTCTGGGTCGTTCTTCGTGCTTTTGGAGTACCTGACCCTCTGCTCACGATCATTAAGGACCTTCATGATGGTGAGCGGGCCCGGGTAAAACTACGTGGCCGGGAGTCAGAGCCATTCCCTGTACACCTTGGGGTGCGACAGGGATGTCCTCTGGCTCCCACATTATTTAACATCTATTTTGACCACGTAGTTCGTGAAGCCTTCAATAGCTGTACCGGGGGAATCTCCATATGGTACAGATATAATGGGAGGCTAATCGATGCCCGGGTGCGGTCAAGGGATGGCTCCCTATTGCTCAACCACGTTATGTATGCTGATGATTTGGTAATATTTGCTCAGTCAGAGGAGGAGTTGGAGACGCTGCTGCTGAGACTGGAGCGTGCCACTAAGAGGTGGGGCCTTACCATCAGCCCCACCAAAACTAAGCACCTGCCTGGGTATTTTGTACCATCGGACACTCCACCCCCACAACTCCCAATCGGTGATGGGGCAGTTGTGGAGAGAGTGGAGAGTTTCCCATACCTGGGCAGTGTGCTTATGACTGGCTCCAGTTTAACAGCAGAGGTCTCACTCCGAATCAGTCGAGCGGCAATATCTTTTCATCGGTTGCGTAACGCTGTGTGGAAGCTACCTGGTCTGTCGCTCCGCACTAAGCTTCAGGTCTTCTCGGCCACGGTCATTCCCTCCCTTCTCTACGCTTGCGAAACGTGGACCCCCCTAATGGAACATCTTCGCCGGTTAGAAACATTTAGGCTGGCCTGCCTGCGATCTATCCTGGGTTTAACCAGACTGGATTGTGTGAGGAGCTCACAAATCCTTGAAAGATCTGGGCAGGGTCCCATCGGTGAGCTCCTCCGGCAGGCAAGGCTGCGATGGCTGGGTCATGTAGCCCGCATGCCCAGCCACCGCATGCCGAAACAGCTTTTGTTTGGCCGGATTGAGGGGGCTAAGCGGGCGCGGCACGGGCTAGAGAAGAGATGGAGTGATGTGGTACAGGAGGACGTGGAGCTGAGTGGACTTGCCGATGACTGGTACCAGCGGTGTCAAGATCGGCCTCTGTGGAGGAGGCTCGTGAAGGATGCTACTGGGCAGTTGGAGGCAGTCGTCCTCCAACAACAACGGAGGGCGGAGGAGCGACGCTCAAAACAGCGAGCGGAGTGCCGGGTGGCTAAAGCACAGCAGGTTGGCACAGTAGGGGGCACAGGTGGTGCATCAGCCAGTCATCTCAGTCAGTCGACCCGTGGCACCTGGGTCTGCCCCGTGACCTCCTGCCAGCGGGCGTTCGACACTTCACGTGGCCTCAGGGTGCACATAGCCTGGCACAAGCGTCGTGACGTCACCGCCACTTAGTGGCGAATGGCGGTTGTTGTTGTTGTTGTATGTGTGTATGTGTGTGTAGTGTGTGTAGTGCATGTGTATGTAGTGTGTAGTGTGTGTGTGTAGTGTGTGTGTATAGTGTGTGTGTGTAGTGTGTGTGACGTGTGTGTGTATGTGTGTAGTGTGTATGTAGTGTGTGTGTAGTGTAGTGTGACGTGTGTGTATGTGTGTAGTGTGTGTAGTGTGTGTGACGTGTGTGTGTATAGTGTGTGTGTAGTGTGTTGTGTGTGTGTGTAGTGTGTGTGTATGTAGTGTGTGTAGTGTGTGACGTGTGTGTGTATGTAGTGTGTGTAGTGTGTGTGTAGTGTGTGTGACGTGTGTGTGTGTGTGTAGTGTATGTAGTGTGTGTGTGTAGTGTGTGTAGTGTGTGTGACGTGTGTGTGTGTGTAGTGTATGTAGTGTGTGTGTGTAGTGTGTGTGTATGTAGTGTGTAGTGTGTGTAGTGTGTGTGTATAGTGTGTGTGTGTAGTGTGTGTATAGTGTGTGTGTAGTGTATGTGTGTGTAGTGTGTGTGACGTGTGTGTGTATAGTGTGTAGTGTGTATGTAGTGTGTGTAGTGTGTGTAGTGTGTGTGACGTGTGTGTGTATGTAGTGTGTTGTGTGTGTGTATAGTGTGTGTGTATGTAGTGTGTGTGTAGTGTGTGTGTAGTGTGTGTATGTAGTGTGTGTGACGTGTGTGTGTATAGTGTGTGTGTAGTGTGTATGTAGTGTGTGTGTGTAGTGTGTGTAGTGTGTGTGACGTGTGTGTGACGTGTGTGTGTATGTAGTGTATGTAGTGTGTGTAGTGTGTGTGTAGTGTGTGTGTGTATGTGTGTAGTGTGTGTGTAGTGTGTGTGTAGTGTGTGTGACGTGTGTGTGTGTGTAGTGTAGTGTGTGTGTGTAGTGTAGTGTGTGTAGTGTGTGTGTAGTGTGTGTGTGTGTAGTGTGTGTGTGTAGTGTGTGTAGTGTGTGTAGTGTGTGTGTGTAGTGTAGTGTGTGTGTAGTGTGTGTGTAGTGTGTATGTGTGTAGTGTGTGTGTGTATGTAGTGTGTAGTGTGTGTGTAGTGTGTGTGTATGTAGTGTGTAGTGTGTGTGTGTGTAGTGTGTGTAGTGTGTGTGTGTGTGTAGTGTGTGTGACGTGTGTGTGTATAGTGTGTGTAGTGTAGTGTGTGTGTATAGTGTGTGTGACGTGTGTGTGTGTGTGTGTAGTGTGACGTGTGTGTGTGTGTGTAGTGTGTGTGACGTGTGTGTGTATGTAGTGTGTGTAATGTAGTGTA